GGGTCGATTCGGCTCCTGGCCCCGCCTCTTCACTGCTCCAAGAGCTTTATCATACCTCTTCTTAAAGCAATGTATGGGTCTTGCCTCCACTACTTCACTCTCCAGATCGTCCACTTCCTGACAACCCTAAAGCTGAAGAAATACTTCCTGACATCTCTACGACTCATCTGAATTTTCACCTTCTAGTTGTGCCCTCTTGTTCCTGTGTGTACTCACCTATATGTGGTTGCAGGGGTCGATTCACAGTTCCTGGATCCCTGTGTGTGTGTGTGTGTGTGTGTGTGTGTGTGTGTGTGAGTAACAATCTCTTTTTGAGTTTACGTTCTTAATTGTAAGTTTTAATCGCTTAATATGACAGATTGTAAAGAATATGCGAGGCTCTCGTAGCTTCGACACACCGAGTGACAGCTAACACACTGGCTGACGAGGTTATTTACTGACATAGACGTCTCCAGATTACCAGGCTGTTGCTACCTTCTCGGCTGGCATAGGTTGGTGCCCTCTCAGCTGACATAGGTTGCTACCCTCTCAGCTGACACAGGTTGCTACCCTCTCAGCTGACACAGGTTGCTACTCTCTCAGCTGACACAGGTTGCTACCCTCTCAGCTGGCACAGGTTGCTACCCTCTCAGCTGGCACAGGTTGCTACCCTGTCAGCTGGCACAGGTTGCTACCCTGTCAGCTGGCACAGGTTGCTACCCTGTCAGCTGGCACAGTTTGCTACCCTGTCAGCTGGCACAGGTTACTACCCTGTCAGCTGGCACAGGTTGCTATCCTCTCAGCTGACACAGGTTGCTATCCTGTCAGCTGACTTAGGTTGCTATCCTCTCAGCTGATATAGGTTACTATCCTCTCAGCTGGCACAGGTTGCTATCCTCTCAGCTGGCACAGGTTCCTATCTTCTCAGCTGACATGTCTCAGCCACCACAGTGAATGTTACTTACGACACACTTCATACCCAGCAGAGGTAGTCCACAGCAGGAGGTTGTTAAGGTCGAAGCGATGGAAACTCTGCCGGGAAGAGACAAGGAATTCTCTGACTACGACCTGACCTTCCTTCAAACCAGAGACCGTGACCTGACCTACTAGAGACTACTCTAACAAGGTAAGGAGACAAAATATACTTGTTCTCTCACTATTCCAGTGGAGTAATATAAGATAACAAGAATGTGGGAGGAACTGGTAATGTGTAGTTGGGAAGGAAAGTTTTTCGTTATGAAGGACGGGACAAAAACAAATACTAAGACTTACGGGTAGAAAACAGTCCAAATAGTTTCCTGACAAATATTGAATCTAAATATTAGAAGAATACAGTTAGAAGCCTGAGATCTATCATTTACTGTGACAACGTAGATCAGCACGTTGCAATGTTGTAGTAGCCAGACTTGGCTTGGTTACAAGGAAGGGACTGATGTTGTAGTAGCCAGACTTGGCTTGGTTACAAGGAAGGGACTGATGTTGTAGTAGCCAGACTTGGCTTGGTTACAAGGAAGGGACTGATGTTGTAGTAGCCAGACTTGGCTTGGTTACAAGGAAGGGACTGATGTTGTAGTAGCCAGACTTGGCTTGGTTACAAGGAAGGGACTGATGTTGTAGTAGCCAGACTTGGCTTGGTTACAAGGAAGGGATGATGTTGTAGTAGCCAGACTTGGCTTGGTTACAAGGAAGGGACTGATGTTGTAGTAGCCAGACTTGGCTTGGTTACAAGGAAGGGACTGATGTTGTAGTAGCCAGACTTGGCTTGGTTACAAGGAAGAGACTGATGTTGTAGTAGCCAGACTTGGCTTGGTTACAAGGAAGGGAGCAATGTTGTAGTAGCCTGACTTGGCTTGGTTACAAGGAAGGGAGCAATGTTGTAGTAGCCAGACTTGGCTTGGTTACAAGGAAGGGACTGATGTTGTAGTAGCCAGACTTGGCTTGGTTACAAGGAAGGGAGCAATGTTGTAGTAGCCAGACTTGGCTTGGTTACAAGGAAGGGACTGATGTTGTAGTAGCCAGACTTGGCTTGGTTACAAGGAAGGGACTGATGTTGTAGTAGCCAGACTTGGCTTGGTTACAAGGAAGGGACTGATGTTGTAGTAGCCAGACTTGGCTTGGTTACAAGGAAGGGACTGATGTTGTAGTAGCCAGACTTGGCTTGGTTAAAGGAAGGGATGATGTTGTAGTAGCCAGCTTGGTTACAAGGAAGGGACTAAGGGGTAGGAAGTGCTGGTACACTCGAAGCATTAAACTGTACAATGATACATAGGATAAGTGAGGGTAAGTGAACTAGTTATCGCCTTCCTCTTATTCTAATGTTACTCCCGCCACAGGAAGCATGAAGGTGATCGTGTCAGTGTTGTGTCTGGTCGCTGTGGCCTCCGCCAGGATGGCCTACAGGTTCTCAGACGGCTACCTGGAAGTCCTAGGTGCCGAACCACAACATACTTTCAACTGCAACGGCCGCTCCTACGGTTACTACGCCGACGTTCCTACCGACTGCCGCGTCTTCCACGTCTGCCTGCCCATCTCTGACGACCTGGGAGAGACAGTAGAGATGGCACACTTCTCCTTCTTCTGTGGTAACCAGACAGTGTTTAGTCAGGAGTCCCTCACCTGCTCACACCCGCAGGAGGCCTTCCCCTGTGACCAGGCGGAAACTCTCTACGAGCTTTCCAACGCTGACTTCGGCAAGATCCCCGACGACAACCAGTAGTTCGCAGACACGATAACAATCTGGCGCCGCTAAAACGATATCTGTGATATCAACGTCATGTTTTTATAAAAAAAATAGGCTTAGGCCAGTAGAAATAAAGTGCTATGTTTTATTCTGTTGATTATTATTGTTATTACCCTGCAAATAAATAATAAAAAGGCACAATACCGGTCCAAGTCGGACCGAAACGTCGTCGTAAGCTTCTCTCTTTTATGTGCGGGTTATTTGTGTATTACCCTGCAATATTTATTGCTAAGTACAATGTGAGTTTAATAGTAGTAGTAGCAATAGTGGTGCTAGTAGTAGTAGTAATAGTAGTAGTAGTAGTAGTGGTCGTGGTGGTAGTAGTAGTAGTAGTGGTGGTGGTAGTAGTAGTAGTAGTGGTAGCTGTGGTAGTAATAATGGTGCTAGTAGTGGCAGTAATAGTAGTAGTAGTAGTAGTAGTAGTAATAGTGGTGCTAGTAGTAGTAGTAATAGTAGTAGTAGTAGTAGTGGTAGTAGTAGTAGTAGTGGTAGCTGTGGTAGTAGTAATGGTGCTAGTAGTGGCAGTAATAGTAGTAGTAGTAGTAGCACGACCACACTGGTGGTCCTGGGCCACACTGGTGGTCCTGGGCCACACTGGTGGTCCTGAGCCAACTACTGATCCTAGACCACTGGTGGTCATGGACCACACTGGTGGTT